CCCAATTTGCTCCGAGAGGCACAGAAGCTGGCCCAAATGGGATCGTCACTTGTGGGGGAGAATTCCCCTACTTCAACCAGGTGGTGGGATTTTTAGGAGCAATAACCTTTTCGCCAGTAGTAGTGTTTTTCCCCGTGGAGATGTACCTTAAGTAAAAAAGAATATAATCCTAAACGACCATCAAGATCGTTCTTCGTACATATGCGTATATATGTTTGGTTGTCATTGTATTTGCTTTTGTAGGCTCTGTCAGAGTGTTGATAGTTGCAAGGTTCAGCTAGAGACTCTCCACCACTCCCAGAATTGAAGGATGTTGAGTATATTACTATATATACTCTGTTCAAATTTCTTGTGTCTAAGGAAGAGTATGGCATGCAAAATGCTGTTAACAACTCTTGCCTAAACAATGTATTTATTGAACCAAGATATATAAACAACAATTATTTTCATATTTGGTTACAGAAGTGCAAATTTTATTTTCGAGAATATTTTTATTAAAATAAGATTGTTTAAAATATCGGGGTGTCACGTACACATCTAGTCTAATGCCCCGGCCACCTTGGCTAAGGCAATGTCTCAACCCTACCTGGTCGGGTCGACTCCAATCCAAATCTAGAAAAACACAAAGTTTTAAAATGAAATTAAAAATTATTATTATTATACAATTTTTTTTTTTAATTCTTAGTTGGCCTACTTCTTTACACTCGTAGTCTGTGGGTAGGGGTTGGTAACGAGATATTTAAAAAGTATACACTATCATTATTCCCTAGTTGACTACGCTACGCTCTTAGTTTGGGTGTAGTGTCGGGGCTGACCCGAAGCACATTTAGACTGACTCGAAACAGTCAAAGCAATCAATACGGTCAATTAGTAACAGTCAAGAGTGAAGCAAGAGAAAGTGTAACGGTTCTTAAAGTCCAATGTACTTAATTAGTAGGATCTCCATAAATTTTTTCCGGGGCGAAACATAACAAAAGAGATAGTTTGAAGAAAAAACAAAATAAAACACTTAAAGTATAGCCATAAATATTGTTGGATATGTGCGAAAAATAAAACATATCAAAACTTTATAAAAATATTCACAACAAAATATGAAACATAATTAATTTGATAAAATAATTGGCCAACCCCGTGGTGGCCGAGCCTACGTGGGCCGACGCTGGGGTGCCGAGGCTGACTTCGGGGTGATTAGCCAACCCCGGGGTGGTTCGTCATGCCGTGTGCGTAGTCTACTCGATGCCGGGTCTGATCCGTTCCATATTACTTCGCTCCGGATCCGCTCTGTAATTATTCCATCAATTATTTTTGAGATGTATCCAGAGTCAATAATTAAATTCTTAATCTTTGATTAAGGATGTATGAGTAAATTATGCCATGGAATCGTGTTCACCGAGAATGGTGAACACAAGGCAAAACGACGTCGTTTTTAGGCAAAAAAAAAAAAAAAAATCGCGGATGTGGAGTTAACATCGCCGTTTGATCAAATTATGAATTTTCTGTTATGAGATTATGAATTTTATGAAAATTCATAATCTCATAACAGAAAATTCATAATCGCATAACAGAAAATTCATAATCTCACAATTGAAAATTCATAATCTCATAACAGAAAATTTATAATCTTATAACAGAAAATTCATAATCTCATGGTTCCAAAGTGAATGTGTAGGCATGGTTCCAAAGTGAATGTGCAGGCATGGATTCATAATTTATGAATGTCCGTGATTTCGGACGGGAATATGTAGGCATGGTTCCAAAGTGAATGTGCAGGTATGAATTCCTAATTTATGAATGTCCGAAATTATGAATGTAATGAAAATTCATAATCTCATAACAGAAAATTCATAATCGCATAACAGAAAATTCATAATCTCATAACTGATCGAAAATTCATAATCTCATAACAGAAAATTCATAATCTTATAACAGAAAATTCATAATCTCATGGTTCCAAAGTGAATGTGTAGGCATGGTTCCAAAGTGAATGTGTAGGCATGGTTCCAAAGTGAATGTGCAGGCATGGATTCATAATTTATGAATGTCCGTGATTTCGGACGGGAATGTGTAGGCATGGTTCCAAAGTGAATGTGCAGGCATGAATTCATAATTTATGAATGTCCGAAATCTTTGTTCACCTCAAATTAAAGTGAAACCGCAAAATGTGAAAATAAAGAAGAAAAGTCACGCAATTAATTAAGGAAAAAAAAAAAAAAAGATAACGGTGTACTAACACCGTTGGAACCGTGTTCACCATGAATTGTGAACACGGTTCCATGGCATAACGTCTGACTCGACCACACCCCATAGAGTATAAAAATTGAGGGGAATATTATAGTATATAGTATGTAATCCCAGTAAAAATTGGAAAAGCAGTCAACTGAGTCAAGCAGTATCATATCCATTTAAGTTTTAAAATTTCAACGAACTTTCTTATTCCTTTTTTTTTTTTTGAAAGAAAGGTTTCCTAATCCTAATCAAAATATAAATAAGGGCTATAAATTAAATTAAGTAGGCTTGTAGTTCTGAGTATCAAATATCTGTGTCTCCATTACTTATCAAAATACATCGATCGACTGTGTTAGGTTTCCGAATACAATTTTGCCCCGCGGCGATAGTGCAGTGCGATACGATCTCCTTCTCCTTCATATCAATGGCGGCGACACGTGTACACTTCCGACCCTCGATCACATCTTCGTTTCAGTCGACGTTGTGTTTTGGGTTGACCGACCCAACAACGGTGGTAATTATAGAAGTTGTTTTGAAATACAAACGGTGGATATTCTCGACAAATCGGCGGGGCCATGTTGTTGATTTCTACGAGACAAACTCCGACTACTACGCTTGTTTCGATTCTCCTGGGTTGTCGTATTGTGATTTGAGAGCCCAAATTCGTCTGTGGTTGCCGGGATTGTCTCCCTCCTTATGCTCCCAGCTTTCCCAACTGATCTTCGAGTATGCCCGCCACCACCTCAATGACAATGGCGGTGCCAATAAAGTCACGGCTTTTGTGGAGATTGAGGAGCCACAACTGCAACCAAAAGACGACGACGACGTCCAAGTACAAGGTTACAAGGGTTTGCCGGCTGATTTTGATGATGATGATGATGATGGAATAGTCTTATACTTTGATAAGGATAACGATGACGATGACGACGATGACAATGAGGGTGACGATGATGATGACGACAATGACGGTGACGGTGACGATGAGGCCTAATTGCATTATGGTGTGTGCAGTTTCAAATATCAATAATCATTTGTATATAAATAATTATAGTTTATAAAAACAAATAAACAATTTAAAATCAAATAAACGTACAAACAATAATATTTATACAACAAAACTCACAAATAGGGGTAGAATATGTTAAAAATCGTTTTGATTGGGCGAGAAATCAAAATACTTCAAAACGTATTAAAAGAATAGAATTTTGGACGACCATTAAAAATTTAAGATTGTTCTTCTTTCATATACCTATATATGTTTGGTTGTCATTGTATTTGCATTTGTTGGCTCTGTCAGAGTTGCAAGGTTCAATTATGTTGGAAAAAAGGGCTTATAATCTGTAATACATTTGAGATACAACAATAATACAGAATACAACAGGGAACAAAAACTGGATCATTTGATATCTTCAGGCGTGTAATCACTTTCCTATAAGCTTTAAATCTCCCTCTATAAAAGCAACAAGGTTCAAGATTTAATCTTAGCAACAAGGTTCAAGATTTAATCTTATGGGATACAAGAAGATGAATGAAATTTTCAAGTTACTTTGTTTGAGAATTGCCTGTAGAATTCCCTGTAGAAATGTAAGCCTGTGAAGTATCTTGGTTTCCTGCTTGCAAAATAATTGCTTGTAAAAAGCAGGCCCGACAGAGCGGTGGGAGGTTGTAAATCATGGTGACTGGTGACTAATTGCTTGTAAAAAGCAATTAGGTTGTAAATCAGCAGGCCCGACAGAGCAGTAGGAGGTTGTAAATCACAGAGGCTAGACTGGTGCTCACTGCGCACAAGGAACTGCCGCTGGTGAGACTCGATCCCTGATCATTCTTCCAAAGTTTCACCTCTATGACCAGTTGAACTACCCATGCGGGCCGATAAGATTGATATATCTATCACCGGAGAAATAATAAAATTATTTTGAGTCAGTAACTGTATGCAAAATTATATACATATATATATATTTATATATTCCTTACGCATAAAAACATGCAAAGAATAAATATAAATAATATCCATATATGTAGTTCAATAATCTCAAGCATACAGCTACATATACCAAGCATGTTAAGTGTAATTTTGAAGCATATAGCTTCAAAATGCATAAATAGAAGAGCATATTCCAAGCACGTTAAGTGCATATTCCAAGCACGTTTAGTGCATCTTCCAAGCACGTTAAGTGTAGTATTGAAGCATATAGCTTCAAAATGCCCCAAACCTTACGCATGAACATATCCAAACATGCATTAATACTCTCAAGCATATTAGCTATAACTCTCAAGCATATTAGCTATATATCACAAGCATATAGCTATATACTCTCAAACATATTAGCTATATACATTTCTCCCAGTATTTTAATTAACTTTCTACCAAACTAAAATAATATTTACAACTCCACAACTCCAAATATTATTTAAGCTTTCATGGTAGTTCATCTGAAGCATTAATCTCCATTACTATATAAATTTCCAACATTCCTCCTCCATTTATATAGTAAAGATTCATACTTTACCAAGATAAATCCAAAACTTATGCATAAATGAAAGTGTCTTAGAGATTGAACTTTCACATAGTATTATATGCGTTACATTAATTCGGATTGCAGTGATGGACGAACCTTGAATCACGCAGTCTCTTTGAAGAAACGTAGATATAACACACACAAGTTTTACAGTCATTACAACTCACTGTAACTTGACACTATTATAGCCATGTGTCCGTATCCTTTAATGAGCACGTACCAAGTAAAGCCCAAACTTGTTTGAAGCGGCCACACTTCATGCTCACAGAGGCTAATCTTTTATCTCATGCACTGCATCTTGCATTTTTTCAAAAGATCAGTTAAGAGTAAAAACTCATCCCTACAACAATGCAGAACCAAGCATCACCTTTTCTTTGGATACAATTTTAATTAAACTTTTGATGCTTGCAAATCACAAAATGAAGTACTCATCTACATTGAAGTCAAGGTCTAACGTAATAACTTAGACGTGAGTTGAGCTTTCCTTCACTTGCAATTTTAATTTAGGCTTTCCGTATCCCTTCCGATGAACCATGTCCCTTGCAAGGACTCTTGCAAACGGATCCGTTAAAACCGGGACTGTACCAAGTCCAGTGCTACAACACTATTACCTAGGATTTTCCACATAGCTAAATCTCAAGCCCATGTGCCTTCACTTGCCATTATAAACACTTGTTTATATGATATGGTCAGTGTAGTAGCATTGTCATAATGTACTAAACTGGTGACATCGGTTTTGGCCAAACCGGAATCTAAATAATCAAATTCCTTAGCCAATCAACTTCTTGCATGTCAAAGCCAATGCAAGAAATTTATATGCCGTAGTTGAAAAATCAATCTTTGCTTTTAGAAACACATAAAACAACACCTCCTCCAAGCAGAAATATCCATCTACTAAATGAGGAACAAGTTTCATGATTACACATTCAACTGGCATTAGAATATCTTTTCAGGATGAAAATATCTATCAAATACACCAAACCATAATTAATGGTTTTATTCAAGTATATCAAAATTCCTTTTAATCTCATCCACTTAGCCAACTAAACATGATGATAGATAGAATTTTAATATCCTATTAATGAACTGGTGAAATAAAATATTTAACCACATGTACAACATGTACATAAGCATGCCATGAACACCATGCAAAATCTACACAGAAATCTTCTTGTACATAAACAACGACAAACCCAAAAGTGATTTATGTCATCCTCCCATCACCATATTCGAAATCTCATTCCGAAAAAATTACCGTAATGGAAAACTATTCTTTCACGCCAGACATCTTGCCTTCAAAACTTTCAAGGCAAGACCAATGATCACAGGTTTATAACTTTAAAGCTTATAGATTGTTTGAAAAAAGGGCTTATAATCTGTAATACATTTGAGATACAACAATAATACAGAATACAACAGGGAACAAAAACTGGATCATTTGATATCTTCAGGCGTGTAATCACTTTCCTATAAGCTTTAAATCTCCCTCTATAAAAGCAACAAGGTTCAAGATTTAATCTTATGGGATACAAGAAGATGAATGAAATTCTCAAGTTGCTTTGTTTGAGAATTCCCTGTAGAGATGTAAGCCTGTGAAGTATCTTGGTTTCCTGCAAAATAATTGCTTGTAAAAAGCATGTAAATTGCCTATCCCTATCAGATGTTTCTCCAATATATTTATAGATGAAAAATATATCTGTTTGGAGAAGTTACATGGAAGTTGCTGTGATTTAAAGCTCAACTTCCATAAGATAAGATATATCCTGATTGATATATCTATCACCGGAGAAATAATAAAATTATTTTGAGTCAGTAACTGTATGAAAAATTATATACATATATATATTTATATATTCCTTACGCATGAAAACATGCAAAGAATAAATATAAATAATATCCATATATGTAGTTCAATAATCTCAAGCATACAGCTACATATACCAAGCATGTTAAGTGTAATTTTGAAGCATATAGCTTCAAAATGCATAAATAGAAGAGCATATTCCAAGCACGTTTAGTGCATATTCCAAGCACGTTAAGTGTAGTATTGAAGCATATAGCTTCAAAATGCCCCAAACCTTACGCATGAACATATCCAAACATGCATTAATACTCTCAAGCATATTAGCTATAACTCTCAAGCATATTAGCTATATATCACAAGCATATAGCTATATACTCTCAAGCATATTAGCTATATACATTTCTCTCAGTATTTTAATTAACTTTCTACCAAACTAAAATAATATTTACAACTTCACAACTCCAAATATTATTTAAGCTGTTGAGTATACTCTGTAAGAGGCCAATAGCAAATATAAATACTCTGTTCAAATTTCTTGTGTCTAAGGAAGAGTATGGCATGGAAAATTCTGTTAACAACTCTTGCCTAAACAATGTATTTATTGAACCAAGATATATACACAAGCATTATTTTCATATTTGGTTGCACAACTAGTAAATCATTGGCATATTATACCATGGACTAGGGTTTATATCGTATTGTGAATTTTGATCTAAAATGATATTCAGATTATATACCTGCAATTAACATATTATGTGTATGTTAATTATAAAAACGGAATATGAATGTTGTTTTGAACTAAGGTTTACAATGCGAGTTAGATATGATTGAAAAAATCGCTAGGTATAATAATCATGGCCAATAAAATAATTTGTTTTGAAAGCATCCCTGCCAAAATATTTAGGATTAAAAAATAAATTTTATTTTTGAGAATATCTTTATTAAAATAAGTTTGTTTAAAATATCAGGGTGTCACACGCCTAGTCTAAATTTCAAAGGTCCGTGCCTCGGCCACCTTGGCCTCAGTCACCATGGCCGAGGCAGTGCCTCAATCCCGGTCGGTTCGACTCCGAGTCTAGAAAACCAATCAAGACTACTGTGAGTGGATCCTTAACCGCAAGAAGTGGGGAGGTATATATATTAAGTGTTATTAGCTAAACTGTTTGTGTTCTTTATAGTTTTAAGGTGATAGAGACATTATTCTTGTCTTATTAATTACTTTGTTATGGCTCTTTACAAGTATCTATACTGATACTGCCCCCAATTTCGCTTTGCTAAATAGGGTTGGTTAGCAATAAGGTTCACTTATACTCACTCTCTTCTCTACCAACTTATATTCGCTGTGCAGGATGCGTCAGAGCATGCACAAGCAACTGGACATATCGACTTTGAGCAAGTGAAGTTGACTCATATCAAGAACATGGGGGAGATACTCATATCAAGATAGCTTGGTGAAAAATGTAATGACCAAAACTACGATAAAAGGGATCCTAGTCCAGCAACCCAAAAATGTTAATGTGATAGCTAGGCACATGTGAAATTTTGGAAACACAGACAAATGAGGGAAAGGGATCAAATGCAATTTATTCAGTGAATATATTACCTGCTCTGTTTGGTCCGGCCTCCACATTAAAAACTTAAAAAACATTTAAGAAAATAAATCTTAAAAACTCAAAACATTTTCCAGTGCATCAGTCACAGAACGAAGAACAATCATTCCGAATAAGCTTTTGACAAATAATCTTATCCTTTGATGATCACAGAGCATTATGGAGTTAATTTAGTGTGAGGAACTCACTTGTATCAGTAGAAGCGCTTAAGGAAGCGAAAGGCTTTGACAGAAGCAGCGGCGACCACCGGCGAGAGGTCGCAGGCAGCAGTGATTTCTCTATGGAAAGTCTTTGCTGCGGCGAACCAGGAGGCCATTGATTTCTCCGCCATTGACATATAGAAATAAGTCAAATAACATTATGAACCTAATTACACAATTTTAATAGTCAAAGATTGAAATGTGATTTATGTATAATAGTCAGCGGACTAAGGTTGAAATTTATTCTATATGTCTATAAACATAAATTGTAATGTCTAAAAATCATAAACTAAATGGACATCATGATATGTATTTCCATTCATTTTATAGTAGGTTCATAATGTTATTTCTACATGTCATTTTAAAAACATAGCTTGATGTATATAAATATTACCTAAAGTAATGACTTTATGTACCTATAGATTTATTTAAAAATAAAAAATAAAATATATCAATATGGATGTCATCCAAAAGATTTTAATTAGAACTTTTTAATGATATTCTTTTTATACATTAGTTTTATACCAACCCCCTATCCGCATACTACGAGTACAGAAGTTGGTTGTCATGACAAAAAAGCTGTGTTTTTTTTTTAAATGCTAATTAGGGTTTTTTTTTTTTTCTTTTTCCTAATATCTATAAACATTTTTGTTAACTTTCTTTTACTCTTTAATTTGCATGCATGAGACCAAAGCTCTATTCTTTTTTCTTTGTATCTAAACTTTAGGTGCATAAATTTGTAAAACTTTGAAACTGTGAAGACCTGAAGATGAAAATCTAGTTGCCTCTTAAGATGCATAAATTTACAAAATTTTGAAACTGCGAAGTTGAAACTCCAGTTGCATAATTTTTTGCTTCTTAAGGTGCATAAATTTACAAAATTTTGAAACCACCAAGTTGAAACTTCAATTGCAAAATTTTGCTCCTAAAGGTGCATAAGTTTGCGCCTTAAGGTGCATATATTTGCAAAACTTTGAAAATGGTACACGCATAATCAATTCCTTCATGCATAAGTTTTTAAACTTCTTCTCGCCTATTAGTAATTAATTGATGTGCTAAAGATGCAAAAACAGCAGGAAGTAGTGAACAAGATGTTGTATGTTTCTTTAAAAAAAAAAAAAAAAAAACTTTTATACCCTCAACGTGTGAATTCGAACATAATTAACTATGAATTAAAAATTGCAATCAATGGTTGAAATCAAGTGATGAGCGTTAGATGGACGATTGTGATTAATACGCATATTTCACTAGGGAGAAACTTCTTATCTGATCTCTTGTTTATATATATATATATATATATATATATATATATATATATAAAATTGTTACTTTAGAGATCAGAGTGATGTAGAGCTATCGATTATCTCTTTAATAAATTTATCCATACATTCAAGAAAATAAAGCTAAGTAAGTAACTTATATGAAATATATTTTGTGACTCAAATCACTCAATAAAAATTTGAAATTGATCTAGTTGAAATAAAAAGTATTTATAAATATCGTATATTAATAGAATGCTACTGGTTCTATCACATTGTAGTATCTGTTCATATACTTTCTCAACCTATTGAAACACAAAGAACCAATAACGCCTCCACTAAGACTCAAACTTAGAATCTTCCAAATGGAAATTCAACCCGGATACCATTAGACCACATAATCCTGGTATTCGAAATATTTAATCTAATTAAGTGTGTATTATATTTTGTTATGAATATGTTTAATGTGTTTTGAAATATTTTGATTTCTCGCTCAATCAAAAAGATTTTTAACATACTCTACCCCTATTTGTAAGTTTTGTTGTATAAATATTTGTTGGTTTTATGATTTTTAGACAGTCAACGGCATGCCAACACTACCGTTAGAATAACGGAATATATGGGAAATATAGGAAAAATATATAGAAAGAATATAAGAACTTTGTATTGATGAATATTGTTTGTGAATAGTGAAAATTGCTTACCCTCCTCTATTTAAGTATAAGAGAAAAAAAAATACATCAACTGATTTCTATAGAAACCACATTTAAATATGGTGTGATGTCGAATCAGCAAAGCGGGCAGCTTCCCTGTTTCTGGAGCCATGAAGCAATGCAGTTGTGATGAAAGGTGTGAGAACAT